TGTTTTGGCATGTTTTGGCCTTTTGCCAAAAGATGTGTATATAAAAACATAGAACTGATTCAAGCCATACATACACTAGACATGTTCTGGTTCTATTTCTGGCTCCAGCCTGACATTCTGCAATACAATGCCTGTTTTGTTTAGAGAAGCTCCTTCTGCAAATTTTTTTAATAAATAATTTTATAGTACCCAGCCCTGGAGGCAGCCGAGGAGCCTCTGCAGAGCTGGCTCTGGGAGCCCCAGGGCCTCCAGCACAGCGAGTCGCCCCATCTTAGTCTGCTGCCTCACAAACTGGAATTATCAGTTCTGCTATGTGACACACCTAATGCATTTGTAAATGCTTATTTCTAATGATGCAATCTAAACCCCAAGACCTATTTCTATTAAAAGATTAACATACAGCCACTTCCATGTCTCTCAGGTAATTTTTTTCTTGTTTCTCATAATTGTTTTTTCCAATTTTATCTAAATTACTAATGCCTCAGTTGTTATTAACATGCTTGAACAAAAGCATGATTGACCAGCTGCGTCCAAATGATATTCAAACTGCCTTTGACCTCCAGCTTGCACTAAAAAAATTTAAGGTTCTATGACAGAGGATATAACCCCCCAGATGATACGATAATAAGGTAGACTGCAGTGGGAAAACAACTTGGTAGCCTTCTGATTCATTTATTATTATTCAAATGTAATGCTTAATTAAATCCCTAACTATATCCCTACTTTAAAAAAGAAATCTGTGTTTTGTAATTATCACGACTTAAACCACTTCTTCACTAGCTCAATCTAAACAAAAGGACACACTGCAAAAACTTTCTTCTAGAAATTTAAACTTCAGTAAACACATTGTATTTTATTAATGAAATTACTCTATCTTTAATAAGGTATTCAAAATCTAAAAAGAACTGTCCAAGACAAACAGATTCTTGATTTATACTAAAAGAAATACTGAAAAAGACTGCACTCAAATTAGCAAATTGAATTCAAGTATGGTATCAATCAAGCCAACATAAGGCAAGTAACTGGAAATTAATGGTTACTCTTCTTTTTCTCAACAAAAAGGAGCTAATAAAGTCAGTATATCAAAGGACTTTTATAAAGCATTTCACAATTAAAAATCATGCTTAACATTCCTAATGCCACCACACAGAAGGGATTTTCTCACACTCATACAAATAACATTATCTACTGCTGAAAAAGAGGTTATCAGTCATGGTAGTAGTTTGCAAAGAAACATTACAATCAAGTATTGATTTAATTCACAGAGAGATTGGATTTATGCTATGTTACTTCAAAAAGAGTACATTAACTTATCATTATTTCCATGTACACTTAAAACACTCACATACAACTCTGGACACATTTAAATAAAACCACAATAAAACACCACAAAAAAACCACGATCCCAGAAACCTACCCATGTTTTGCTGGCCAGTTATTAAGAAGTGAAAGCACTCAATTAGAGGGAAACTCCTACGAACTTCAGGAAAGCTCAGGTTCATCTAAGAAGTTTAAGGCTCACTGTTTTTAGTTCCCAAAACAACAGGGTTTTTAATCAAATACACATGAAGTTTTTAAATACAGGGAAAAGCACTCTCTTCTCATGAGTACACGTTTGAGAAAATGAAATAATCTGAAAGACATTATCTCTAGATACTGTACATCTATAATTTCTGATGTCAACAGACGCTGCATAAAAGACGCAATAGTACCAATTACTGGGCCGTTAAAATCACAGTTCTTTGGTCAAGTATCACTTTAGGGAAGTTCTGAGAAAAGCAAGCAGCACTCGGAAACACATTAACTTCTCCAAGAAAGTTTTGCATCAAAGCTCTGCTTTTTAACTTTTATTTTTTAAACAACAACAACAACAAAAAAATTCTGCACTTAGGAAAGTTGTTACCCTCTTACATTTCAGAATACAAAACTGAAAAAAATCCCTATTAAAAAAAAGATAGGACTTCAGCCAAGTATTCAGCTACTTATTGCTGTAGTTGTAACTCAAGTCCCTTGAAATCCCTATGTTTTGGTTGTTTGTAGCGAAAACATGTTTGGAACACTAGCAGCAATAGAAAACCCCTTGAAAACCTAGACATAGTTACACTGTTGAGTGAAAATCAGCAGAAACCATAGCCATTGGAACATAATAAAGCATCCTGTAAAAGTGAACTGGTAGCTAGAAAAACAGGAGATTTAAAGTGCTATCCCAAAGTCGTATGTGGGCCAATGCCAGTAAAGAAAAGTCCATTTGTCCCCCACCCAGACAGAGTCCAGAACCACAGCACTACTTCAAACATAATGAATGCAGTCTTCACTCTGCTTCAATGCCTCATCTCCCCTCCCTCCTCCCACAGGCAGAATACAGAAACTTGAAATAATTGCTAATTCCAAATGTAGGTGATATGCACAAATAAACTGTTGAACAAGGCTTGGACAGCAAACAGTACACCTGAGTTCAGTCATACAAACTAACTTTTGTAAATAGCATTAGATGAATATATCCATGTCTCTAATATGAATCTAGATGTGTTTTCTTACAAAACGCATTAATAGAAATATCCAGGCAAATACATACCATACAATAGCAAAAGCTTTAAGCCCCATTTAATAAGATGACTTTCTGATTAAAAATAGAAGGCAATTAAGATTTACTCAAAATTACAATTAAGAAAAGCTTTCACAGTGCAATATTGAAACTGTCACAAAGTTAAGAAAATACTGATATCAAAGTACAATCACAATGTTAAAGTAGACAAAACTACTATACAAGGGCATATCTTGTAAAATTAAAGGGAACGAACACAACATAGGGGACATCTCACATCCCTGTTCTACATATCTCATTTCCTAGTCTTCAGAGTCATAATTGTGTCTTTCGGACATCAGTAGAAATCTTGGTAAAACTTAAGAGGCTCATTCTTCTTTGTAGACCAGATTTCAAAGCCCGGTTACTTCTTGAAAACATGTTCTTCATCACTGCACAATTTCAAAGTAGTGCAATATTGCCATGATGTGCTGAGGCATGAACACATAGCCTGTGTACAGGGCCATTCCAACAATGGAAACTAGCATGGAATCTGAACTACAGTTGAGGAAAAAAGCATTTGAAATAGAAACCACAGAAGACATCACAAACTATAGCATTAAAACTTTAGTGGTTACTATCTTATAACATTATGTTTCTAAAACAGACACAATCAACTGTATTCAGCAATTATAAGCCACAGAAGAACCTACTGAACACTGAAACACTGAAAACCAGAATGCCAGTAGAAGCAATCAGCTGAACTGCAAAGGATGCCTTGCAAGTTATCCACTGCCTTGTCAGTGACACAGGAGCACAGGTGAGAGCATGGCAAGTGTGATGGAGAACAGAAAACGAGCACTGAGAAAACACACATTTTCAAACTCATCTTCTCAGATGTTGAGCAAGTCTTGCAGAAGCCAGCCCCATTCAGCCAAGCAGAAAAAAGTCAACTACCGCAAAAATACAAAAGGAAACAAAACTATGAGCAGCTTTACTGAAAAAATATAACACCATTCTTATTTGTGGACGACCACCTTTTTAAGTAGACAGCATCAGATGTTTTTTAAGTACTTCACTCACAGTGCCTCAGAGCATGAGCATAGTTTTGAGTCAAGGTGTGTACTTAAATAAATACACTCATTAGTACTTTACTACAGGAGACTGCACTGCAAAATAAACTTCATGTGAAGTTATCTGCTAAAAAATCTGCAATGACCACTTTATTAGCTGAACTCCTCACAGAGAGCTTTTATAAAACTTATATAGAGAACTGAGACAATAGCTTATAAAGTACATGTACAGTTGGACTTTTGTCAACCTCTAGGGCTTTTGAACCTTTATCTAAACAAATTCTGGCATCATGGGAGACAGGAAAGCGCCTGCCCCCCCCACCAAAAAAAAAAGAAGGGGGAAAATGATGCCTTAGGTTTTAGCTTTTATCATTTTTAGATTCTGCACTGCTTTAGTGTGTAGCTCTGAGCTTCATATTAAGGGATGGTAAGCTCTCTTCACAGAGTAGCTAGACAAAACAATTCCTTTTCTAGCTTGGAACCAAGGACAGCTGATCCAAATTTCAGGCCCAAGAGCATAATAATGTGGACTGAAGCAAGAAAAACAAGAAGGATGGGACTTCATGAACTAAAGGTATAATTGGACAATTAACTCAAATATGCTAATGGACCAGAACTTATAAAAGCGACAGACCTCGCTTTTGAACGGTTGTCCATTTTGTGGCCATTTTGGGTTCGTCTTGGGTGTAGCCCTGGCTGGGCTCTTGTACTGCCCAAGCTGTAGCCATTGAGGCCTTTTAATAAATATCTACTTTATTCTTTAACTCCATCTAGCCTCTGTTCTAGGTCAGCCTTGACAAGGCATCAAGATTACTAAAATATTAAGGTTTCAGAAAGCTTAAGGTTTCAGAAATTCAAAAGTACACAAAATGAATAAAAAAAAAAAAGCCATTGATTTCATCCAACTACCTGCAGAGATTCAGTAAACTTAGCCCGAAACACTGTAAAACACACTGGAGATTAACAAGCCTGATAAGGCCAGACAGCAGCACTCAGTTTCCACAGGTGAAACCAGAGGAGCTGTGCGTGCTCTGCGCTCTCCTGAGATCAAGTCTGCACAGCACAGGCGTAACAAGCGCTCCGTGCCTGACTCCCCGCGGCACAGCAGAGCTATGAGGTGCGCCTGTTAGAGCTGCTTGGTGTATTTATAGTCCCAGAGGATTATACAGTAAGAGATACTAAAATGAAGGTCAACTCATAAATCCACATTTCCGTATCAGTGCTCACTTCTGATACTGGAGCACAGCCATGCACCATTAGTTCCCAAGGCCACTGTGTCCCCACTGCATCCATACAGCACCTGGCAGACATGACCCACCTACAGCCAAAGCTTCCAGTTTGAGGACAAAAACCATTTTTGCTCATCTGAGGTCAGAAGTGATGCTTGTGCCACATTTGTACATTATGTGGCAATTATGATATAAACATTTTATGAAAGTAGAAGTGCACACGCTTTCATTTACTTAAACATTTTGCACAAGATAAAAAGGAAAAAAAAAGTACTCATGACTAATATAATGGCAGGGAAAACAAAAATTACGTTTCCTCAGTGATACAGTCATGGCATAAAAGGAAGAAGGTACGTTAACATGGAATACAACATAAGAACCTCTACCTGAACAATTGTGCACAGTAAGTGTATAAAATTTACTATTTCTCTTTTCCAGTAATCTCCATTTCTACTGACTTGACACAGGAAAAAAAAAAAAGACTGATCACACCACTGTAACTTGGGCAATCACTTTTACATAACAAACGTGAGTTTCTTCACAAAACTTAGCAGAATCTCAGTAAAAGCAGCTTCTCGCTACTGCTTATACCCTTCTCTATGTTAATGTTTTAATTCATTTCTCTCTCTACCGCTCAGCATTAACTGCAGATGGCTCAGGGTCACTCATATTGACACAACATTTTAAGTCAAGATCAAAAAATCAGAGAAAAATACTGGTGATGCCACAGCAACACTTAAGAAAATGCTGTATGAAAGGGCCATGTAAAGAAGCAAACCTATAAACAGCCTTTATAGAGACGCCTTTACATGAGCATCTATCAAGTTCTTCCACTCTAAAACAGCCAAGCAAACTTACCAGCCCGAGGATTAAATATCCATGTAATAAAAGCCATGTGACAAAGCAGCATGAAAGCTAGGTTTGCAAGGCTTTGCAGCGTGCACATTTACTTTCCTCTAGGCAAAATACAAGAGAAATCATTAAAAACACTTATCCTTAACAGAAAGGTCGGGATTTCAGTGCAAAAGACAGAACTACCATAACTCCAAAGATATAAACTTCTGCCGGAGGAGAAACGGACAAGGCTGCCAGACGCCCGGACACAGCATGCCAAAGAGCACAGCGAGGTTTATTCCCAGCCCGGGCAGGATGTTAGTTTGGAAGGGTGAGGAGCTGAGTCCCCGCCAGCAAGGAGAGGTCAAGCCTCAGTCCCAGGCGGAGAGTGCCGCTCCTCCGGCAGCCGCGGGCTCTGGGCCGCGCTCAGCGCCTCAGGCCGGCTGCCCCCGACCCGACCCGACCCGACCCGACCCGGCCCGGCCCGGCCCGGCCCGGCCCCGCTCCCTTCCCGGCCCGACTGTCCCCCGCCCCCAGCAAGCCCCGCCGGCGGCAGCGCTCTCAGCACCACCACGGCCCGGGCGCTCCCCGCGCACCGCGCAGGGCCGGCGGAGCCGCCACACCCGCCCGGCGGCCTCGGGGCAGCCCCGGAGCCGCCGCCGGACACAGCGCGACAGGGAGGGGGACAGCCCCGGCCCCGCACTCGCACCCGCCGCCCCGCCAGGCCCGGCCGGCAGAAGGATACTGAAGACGGTGCGCTCCCAGGGCTCCAGCATGTAGAGCGCGGTGACCAGCAGGTACTGGTAGTACAGCCACGACATCTGCTTCCACGCCGAGCCCAGCGCCATGGCGCTCCCCCGCCCGCCACCGGCCCCGCGCTGGGCCCAGGCCGAGCGGAGACGGGGGCGGTGCAGCCGGGACCGCCCTCCTCCGGCCCCGCCCTGCGCCCGGGAGCCGCGGCCACCGGCAAGGAGGAGCCGCGGCCTGTGGGGCTGGCGTGGGGCGCTGCCCGCGCTCCCGGAGCGGGGCAGAACGGCGGGGACGCACGCCGCTTCCCCGGTTTTCCGCGCTGAACGCCGACATCGGGCCCGATCGGATTAAATTATACGGCTGACTCTGAACCTGGTAACCTCCCGGCCCCAGTCACACCGAGGAGATGGTGCTGCAACCTACTTTCTCTCATCCTGTTTAATCTGAATTGACGTTTTGGGAATCACGGAAGAGCCAAAGGCTGTGCTTGGCAGGGCCTAAGGGAGACATGTTAAAAATTATCTGCACGAGTCTTCAACTTCGTTCAGTTGTCGGAGGGTAAAGCTCACCCACAAACGTGGTTCAGATAAATGCGACCTTAAGATAGGCCAGCTTTGGCGAGATTAATCCATGTGAATAGGAAAAACAAAGAGGTGATGAATCAACTGTTTACTGTGACTGTTCTAACGTTGCACTACCCTAAGGCAGTCGGAGCGAGAAACCAGAGATTCCCAGAGTTTGGTTTGGTTTGGGACTATGTGATTAGGAAAACCCTTGGCAGTTTATGCTGGCACTGTAGAAGGCGCAGGTCGAAAACCGGCTGAAAGGGGATGTACACAATCATCAGGCACCTTACATGAGCGGAGTGTGTGTTGAAACTTCAAGGCCCTGGCTCCAGGCCAGCAGTCCAGACCACACATTCCAAGTGTGCACAGCATAGATTAGAAACTGGAATTGACCCACTATACTTACTCTGCTTAGTAAATCAATTTGCAATTATGTCACTGAGCAATGTGATTCTGTCTTTGTAGCCGTCCCACCCCTACCTTCACCTGTGCTATTTATACAATGAAAAATAAGGAAGTACAACCACAGGAGAATGCACATTTGAGTTACTTATACAGCTGCAAAATACAACTACATGACCAGGAGATAACTGTGAAAAAGAAAAGCAGCCAGCAAAGAAAACTTAAGAGTGTACTATTTTGTGTGGCAGGAATTTGAAATGGGATTTGATCCACCCTGAAGACACTTAGACACACCTTATCTATGCAGATTTATTTCAACACCAGGAGAATTAATACCCTGGCATAACTGCCTATGGGAGCTGTTGCCACTATCCAAGTCTGCTGTTGCTTGTTGCAGTCTCTGCTGGAGGAGTCCTGTGTTGGTGTTGCTGCTTGAGTAAACAGTGGTAATCATGAAATGTGCCTTTCTGTATAAACATGTCCAAAGTTCAAGGACAAGTGGGGTATTCAGCACAACTAAAGCGTTATTCCTGTTCAAAGCTGCAGGAATGGTATCAGCATGGAGCAAACAGGTCCAGTCCTCTCTGTTCCTGTGATCCCTAACAAAACGCTCTGCAATTCAAGTGGTAAGGCAAGCAAAATGCAGCAGCAATAAAGGACCTGGGATGAGAGGAAAGGTAATGCCTAGAGGCATGCCAGCTTCACAATCTCGTACATCTGCCCTAACCCACCAGGTAGGTGGCCCCTTACACTTTTTTGGTATGGTGCATACTCATGAGTTTTTTTGCTAGTTAGCCCCTTATGGAAATGAACATTATTCCTCTGTGCAGTTTCGCCTCCTTCACCAGCTCCATTCTACCCCTGCTTGGAGACTGTCATCATGTAATTGTTTTTCCTGATACCACTTGCATGGACACTTGAGCCCTTGAACTACATTCTCACGTGCTCATGTTTCCAGGAGGTCAATGCAAACATCCTTAACCTGACACTACAGAGAGCCTTTCTGTTTCATCTGGAATGTAAAGAGAAGTAAATCAAGGCCAGCATGCTCCAGAGCACAGACCATATTCCCCATTACTTGTATTCCTCCACACTTCTACCAAGAAACAGTTCTTCATGTATTCAAAATTTCCTGTGTACACCTCTTGGCTCATGGCACACAGTAAGAATTTATCCCACTTCACATGATCCCACAGCATCTGATACTGCAAGTTAGATATTTCACTATTTAGTCTGAATGTAGGTAGTAGCATAGATGAGATTGAAGTCTTGTCTCACACATACCCCAAGCCTCAGAACCAGGAGAGCTCCATTTTGTTCCTAAGTTGCATATGCAGAGGAAGGCACATCATACTGACCACCCACGTGTTCAGCAGCTGCATCAGCAGTTCTCTACCTCATCAAGCAGAGGTTAAGTTTCTGCTGATTTGAAAATAGTAATTCCGTGTTTTTCTTATGTAATCCTGACAGAAGAACCAGCATGTTTATTTCTTCCTAATCTCATGTAACAACATAGAATGAGTGTGTGTAGATCAGTAAAATACTACACCAGGGACTATAAAAGGTAACCAAAGAGTTAAAAGATTTTATTATAATCTAAGGCACAAAAGATGTTATTCATGTTTCTACCTCCTAAGTTCAAATATTTCTTACAGTTCATTAAAGTACATATAACTAGTTATTCCTAGTGCTATTACGAGAAAAAACCACAAAGATGAGATTTATTTTTTTTCAGACAGACCATTGTTCAAAGTACAGTTTAAAAATATCAGGCTATAAGAGATATTACAAATAAAAAGCAAGAGTTTGCCTCTTGGGCACACACCTGAATGAAGACAGAGAAGGATCCAGAATTAACAATACAGTGGCTTCATAGACATAAATACCAAGTACAGAAGCTCTTTGTGCTTCCATACAGAAGCTGTAAATGTACTAAAGAAACAGAAAAAGCAAACTAGTTCTATAGCAACAGATCTGACTATAAATTTCTTCTTAAAAGGTATCACAAGGAAAACAATAAAGTCCAGTACTTTCTTCTACTATGTATATGTAAATATACATATTTAAATGTACAACATTTAGCTGTATTACTAGGCATTACTAGGGATGTTGTTTTACGTGATCAGTGGTAGAACAGTCCATGCCAGCAAAATCAATATAAGCTCATCTCAATTTTTTGAGATCTTAATTAACGAAAAATCCAAATATCATGACAATTCCTTCTTTATCAGAGTGTCCTGGTCTTGGCTGGGACAGAGTTCATATTCTTGTCAGTAACTTGGATTTAGTCTGAGAATAAGTTGTTCCATGATGTTTTGGTTGTTGCTGCATTAACTACTAAGGCCCAAACAACAGCCCCTGAGCCAAAGTTAACCTCTAGATGAACATTCCAGCCAAAAGTTATGTATATATTTGCTCATTAATAAAGCATTGTTATATGTATTCATTTATTTGCAAACCTTTCCATATCTAGAAACCTGGGAATGCCTTACTGGGGGGGGTGTAGGATGAAAGACAACTCCCTTGGTTCCTCCTGGAGCCCTGGTGAGGCTTTAGGGAAAAGCCAACAGAAGAATTAAATTAGAAATTATGTCAGCTTGTTTGTTTAACAGTATAAAGTCTGGGCTACTTTCACAGCAAAGTCAGGGGAGCCTGGAGGCCTGCAAGGTGGACATACCACTGGAGCTCTGTTACCAGACGTGGTTCTCCAGTCCTTTGCTGTGACAGCTTCACCCCACAGTTGATGTTCTGAGGACCTGGATGATGGTCAAGTAATAGCGTAACACGTGATGTATCTGTCTTAATCACTGTAGGCATTCACTCATAGTAACAATTAGGTGCATTGCTTATCTTATCCTTTTGTAATTCTTTGCTAAGGATTATGTGCATTGCCTAACCTATCCTTTTGTGATTCTTTGCAGTTTTACATTACAGTAAATTACACTGTTCCTCAAGTTGGTGTCTGTCTGTGTCTATGTCTCTGACCCTGCTCACTGGCAAAACACTAAGTGGTGCTTAGGATAACTCACAGACTTTCCAGTGTCTCATGTCTGCCAGTGAGGAGCACCACAAAAAACTGGGAGGGAGCCTTCTTTCTGTACCAAATTGGCCAAAGGGATATTCCATACCCTAGAATATCATGCCCAGTGTATAAACTGGGGGAGTTACCTGGAAGGCAGATGATCACTGTTCAAGGACAAGCTGGCTCTCATTCAGCAGGTGGTGAGCAGTTGTGTTGTTGCGGTGGATTGACCCTGGCTGGACACCAGATACCCAGCAAAGCTGCTGTCTCTCCCCTCTGCAAATGGACAGGAAACTCACACAAAGGTCCATGACTAAAGTATTGGGAGAGCTCACTCACCAAATACCATCATGGGAAAATCACTGAACTTGGGGATATTAACTGAATTTATTACTAACAAAATCAGAGCAGGATAACGAGAAGTACAATAAATCTTACTTTCCCCTAACTCGCCCTGCTTCTTGGGCTCTACTTCCTCCCCCACCAGAAGTGCAGGGAGACAGAATGGGAGTTATGGTCAGTTCATCACCCATTATTCCTGCTACTGGTCCGGGAGAACTCCTTCCCCTGCTCTAGTGTGGGGTACCTCCCACAGGAGACAGTACTCCACTGACTTCTCTAATGTGAGTCCATCCCACAGGCAACACTTCTTCCCAAACTGTTCCTTTGTGGGTCATTTTTCCAGAGTGCAGTCCTTCAGGCACAGCCTGCTCCAACAGGGGCTTGCCACGGGGCCACAAGTTTTATTAGAACACCTACTTTAGTGTGGGCTCCTCTTGCTGTGGGTTTGCAGGTCCAAATTTTCCTCCCCACAGGGGGAGGGGGTGGAGGGAGTGAGCAAGCAGCTGTGTGGCCTAGTTGCCAGCCAGGGTAAAACCGTAACACAGACCACGTGTGCAAATCTACCAAGAACAGCTTAACAACATCAAACATTCGGACTGAATGTTGTTTATCCCTTGCTATAAAATAACCAATGCAGCTATGGAAAGTCAGTTACTATAAAGTGTTTATTCCAAGAAGCCATTCTAATGCACACTGAGATAATGAATGATAGTGTATATATACAGGGAATGATCGTAATATACAGATTTTACATGGTATTTACAAAATATTTAATCCCCAATGATAACCCAATGACAACCGCCTGATGGTGGGAACGAATATAGCTCTCATATACACGCAGTTAACAGTATGCCTTTTATGAACTTTGCAAAAAGTCCAACCATTAT